AGAGCTGGATTTCAGGAGTTCTGAATCTTCCTCTGGAACTCTTTCATTAAAGCTATTTTGTATTTTAATTTTATTCCTCCTAGAAATGACTCTTGGAGTCCAAAGCCTAAAAGTAGTGGCCTTCGAACATTTCTAACATGTATCCAGTGTCCACTTTCTTCTTACACTATAAGCCTTGGTCTACTTTTGACTATGTCACCATTTTCAGAGGAACTGCCTTTGGGTAGTATCTTCCCTAGGACTTGTATTCTGGCTTTTGCTCTATCTCAGATCAGATAGGATACATAACAATGGAACAGTAACCCAGCCACATGGAGGACAGAATATGGCTCTTTTTTGACAACGGAGCCTAATTAGTGATACAAGCAAAGTGGCTAATTAGATCCAAAGCAACTTTCTGAAATATCAAGAAGAAAAGATCAAAACAGAACCAAAGTGCAAATAAATACAGTCGGAAATGACGCACGCTCCAGGATCCCAAAGCATTGAAGATATCTTTGAAAAGTTGAAGGCCTGTTCAGACAAATCTTGCATTTTATTTTCCCTCCCCCTCTGTTTGAGTTTCTTTATTTTTTTTTTTCCTGAAATCAAATTAATAGTATTTACTGGCTCTGCAGCTATGGGGAGGCTAGGATGAAAAGAAGTACAACAAACAGAGCTGTGAGTCTGGAGATGTAATTTCTCAGCCTCCACTCTAGTCTCTAATAGTTATGTGACTTTGATAAAGTTGCGTAACCTCTTACACCAGCCACAGTCTCATCTCTACAGTAAGAGTGTTTGGCTGGATGTCATCTAATGCCCTGGCTAGATCAAAGTTCCTACGATATCTTGAATGAGTGGAGAGAAAAGAAATGGAGGCATAAAGGTAATGGGCCACTAAAAGGGTTTCCAGTGGTTTGCCTCATTTGGACTTATTTATCCATTCCCAAAGCCTGGAAATGAAGTTTCAAGGCCATGTGCTGAAGGGATTTGGAGAAAAACTATTTAGAATATTTACATAAACTCTTTGAGAGATTATGTGGAATATAAAAATGTCTGTGGCACAGTCCTGTCACAGAAGAGTTTTACTCTCCATGGAGAAGACATGTTGTACAAATATGCAATAAAGTTGCAAGAATCCAAGTAAGCCTGACTGAAGTGCTAAAACCACCAAAGTATAAACATTGGTCACTGTAGGCATTCAGAGACACATGGTCTATAAATGGAGAAGCATTGAAGATGATCTTGAATGAGGGGCTTGGAGAATAAACTTCTAGATAGATGTATAAAGACGACGGTGCCTACTATTGATGGGAACAAGATAATAGAGGTATTGGATGTATAGAAATGAAGGTGACATCTCCCAGGAAGAGTGAAAAAAAAAAGTCACCTTGGATCAGAGGGACTGTTTACAGCCCCAGTGGGAGGTAATATTGGAGGAGTCAGAGAACCTATATGATAGATATCCAGGGTGAAGAAGATGGACTTCTGATAGTGGGGAGCTAGCAATGGGAAAGGATTATGGGAGACACTGTAATCTTTTAAGAGAGATCAAACAAGGGTCAGTTGGAAAAACTGATGGATTGAAAGAAGAGAGGAATAAGTAAGGGTCAAGCTAGACATCTGTTGAAATTGTCAGGCAAAAGTGAGGACCTAAAGCAGTAAAACGGAAAAGTCCAACGTTGATGGATCTTTCTTGCTAAAGTCTCCCTTTTTCTTTCCTCCCTTCCCTTCCCGATCTGAATGAGCCTCTGGGTAATGAGGAAATATAGATAAAATTGTACTTTCACTCATCAAGCCTAAGAAATTAACCCAGTCCCTCTTGGTGGTCTTCTGTCAGATGACACAGAATTGATTTTGTAGCTTGTCTCATGGGGGCCTCTGGGAAAACAGTTCATTCTGGTGACCTTTTGCTTTCACATGATTATGGAGATACGACCCAGTCCCCACCCTTAGTTCAAAAACAAAACAAACCCTCTTCATTACTTTGTTGGCTCCCCTCGTGTCCTGATCGTGGCCAACTTTTTTCTGGGGTATCCTTCTCTCCGCTCTCCTCCCACGATCATATTCTTAGATGTTTTGTTCCCTTGGAATCAAAGACACACTCTTTATGTGGTGGAAAAGAGTAGATCTCACCAAAATCACTCTGGACTAGCTGTCCATAGCCCAGTGATAATCGTTCCACTATCTAAAAGAAAAATGTGATTTCACCACAAACACTCCCATGATGATTCAGCCTTAACTCTTGCCAGAGGAAGACTGTGCCATTTTTTCCCCTCTCCTCAGCATGCAGGCTGCTGTGAAGAAGCATCTGCTGCCTAATTCTTTTCTATATTAGGATAAAAAGCCTTTTGGCTTGCTGATTTCAGGCCCTTAGGAAAAGAGAGAAAAGATTTTCTCATAACGTCTTTATTGTACAACCAGTTGGTCTGTGTCCTGGGAACCCCAGGCATGTTTTCAGGGATGAACCGCAAGACCGATAGCTCGGAGATGATGGGGCTGGGAGCTGGACGCGACGTGCTCACTCTGGGGGCACAGATGGTATCTATTAGCCAGAATTCTTCCACTGTGGTTGCTTTAACACCCGGACCACTTTAACTGGCCTCTTTTCGTATTTGGGAAGGCCAGCTCTTCCTGAAGATTAACCAGACACAAGGTTTGATCCTCCCAGTTCAAATAAGTGATTGTAGAGCCAGCTGAAAAAGAATGGGGTCTAGGAATAAAAATCCTCACTTGAAGATGGATATGTCCTTGAGAATATTGTGGAAAAGCACCTCAAGGGAAAACCGTTGGGGGTGATGTTTCCAAAGCAGTTCCCTCTATGCCCCCACAGGACTGCTTTTGATGAAGACAGTGGCTTGATGTTCTCATTACGATCCCTGCCCCAGATGGGGGCTGGATTCCCAGGTAGATGGGAAGGCTGGAGGGAGTGTGAACCTGATAAAGGCTGCTACCCTCTCTCTCAGGACATGACTAGGTAGGAAAGCTCAGGGAAAACGCTCGGATCTTGCTCTCTCGCTCTCATCCTGCAGCTTTCTGTGTGCCAGTGACCTGTAGAAGCACTGGCAAGCTGTAGCACATCCCTGGATGCTGTTCAGAAGTGAATGGGGGTGGGGGTGGGGGTGGCAAGATATCTGCTGGGGAACAGTCACATCTGCAGGGCTGTGAGCTCTGTGTTTCTTTTATTCTTGTAATAATGTAGTAATGATAATGGTTGGGTTGTTGTTGTTGCCGTTATGGTTTGTCAAATTGGCGCATTTGATGATGTCCTATCACACTTGGAATGGCCTCTTGGACATGGGATGTGGCGGCTGAACATGCTTTGAGCCAGCAAATTCCCCTATGTCACACTGCTTGCAATTATTATTTAAGAACCAGAGAGAATGCAGCCTCCAGTTTTTGCTCAGTAAACTGGATTTCAAAGCCAAAGTGAGGCATATCACAATCGAAAAGACCAATTAAAAAAAAATGTCAAGGTGATGGAGGAGGAAGAGTTTATTAAGTGATAAACATATGCTTCTCCACAAAGCCCCACACTTGATGCCTCCAGTCATAACATACCAGCTCTGAGTTTTAACAATGCAGCTCTCAAAAGACTTCCCTTTGGCTTGTGGGCAATTCATAGATTTCAACTTCTTGCTCCCTGGTTGGGGTTGATGGGCCAGGGAACAATTTTTATTAGGTTTCAATGCATCTGCGGTGCTTAAATAAGAGACTGAAACAAGCACTTGTTCCATGCTGTAGGGTGATAAGTTGCGTTAATTTTTATTTTAGGCTGTCTCCAAACATGGCTTTTATAGACTAATAAAAAAGCAATTTTTATAAGTTCACAAAAAACAACGAGCACAGTCAGGCATAAATATCTTACAACCAGGGCCAGAGGAAAACTACGAACTAAAAAATCTGCTGAAAATGGCACAAAAACATAGTACCTGGATGCTGCCTTCTTGAGGTAAATTACACTCTGACCTAAATGGAAGATTCTAGGCATGTAAACTTCCAGTAGTGATTCCTCCCTGTTCTCATTTCTCTGTAGTCATAACTTTGGCTCTGGAACCCTCACTAATTTATGTACATCCTATCCTTGAGGATCAACCTCAAAACTCTGCTCTTTGGGGGCAATCCCACCCATTAATGTCAATGATTACACTCCCATATACTTATTTGGAACACACTAGGAAATACTAAAACTTTAGTAGGAAACCTTTTAGCCAAATCACCCCATTGTCGTATCTCGGGGGAGACAGTTCATACATGTCTGAGCAGAAGCTCTCTGACAATAAAAAAATGTGAAGCATATTTTGGACAACCATCTTATGCAAGCTATCTTGGAAGGTTTTGAAATAGGGGCACCAACTACTGCGTTGTTATCCAATTATAATGTGTTTGTGAAATAAGTGATCTCAATTAATATTTAATGTTATATACCAACAGAATTTTCCCAAAAGTTAAAAAAAAAAAAATCAGTGACTCTTCCAAATCTCTTGTTTACTTTATGCAGAACATGTGATGATGCCACATGACTGACCAACCGGGGATTTGGGTTGTTTGATTCTGCCTGTCTGGGCTTGCAGACTTACTCTTTACATTTAGGGCATAAATGATTGCTCTTTCTACTTTCATGAATTTCATGTTTCAGCCACACTTTTAGCCTGACAGGAAGGTTTTCCATCTTCATGTCATGCAAAAAAGGAAAAGAAGCAAGTAACAAACAAAATATCCAGGAATTTTGACTTAGAGAAAAACATCTTGACTTTCTTAGGCCTGAAGTTGGTTAACCTTTCCTAAGGTCGTGCTCATTATTGAGGTGTTTTGTTTGTTTTTTAGAAAAATAAAAGCAGGGACGCCTGAGTGGCTTAGTTGGTTAAGCGTCGGACTTTCGCTTGGGTCATGATCTCGCGGTTCGTGGGTTCGAGCCCCGCATCGGGCTCTGTGCTGACTGCCAGCTCAGAGCCCGGAGCCTGTTTCAGAGTCTGTCACTCCCTCTCTCTCTGACCCTCCCCTGCTCACGCTGTCTCTCTCTCTCTCCTAGAAATAAAATAAAAACATTAAAAAAAGAAAAAGAAAAAGAAAAGCAGAACTTAGAATTAAATTGGAGACCCTATTCACAAGAAAATCCATGTACATGATACCTTTGTGTCTGAGATTTTCTTCACTCTGTAGTCCTTAGTGAAAGCGTATGGGAGGTGGGAGACCTTCTATATAGAGGGGATGTGGGGATCAAGAGTCTTGTTTGAAAACTGTCTTTATCTAGCAAGTGCATCATGTTAGTTAAATTGCATATTTATTTTGAGAAGTTTTATACGGATTTCTAGAGATTATAATTGTCATACCATTTAAGGTGATGGTAGCAGCTGAAACTAGCAAATTGAAAATCTCAATGGATTCACACAATAGAAAGTCACTTCTCATACATATAAAAGCCTAACATATATTCCTGACCAAGTGGATTTTCTCCAAGTACTAATTCCTGGCTCAGGCTCCTTCTATTCTGTGGCTCCTACTTCAACACAGAGCTGCTAAGACAACAAAGTTTTTAGCACCAAGCTGTGAAAGGAGAAGAGAAAAGAAGGATTTCCTTCTCAATTGATCAGACCTAGAAGTACTGTATCTCCTTGGCAGTACTCATCCACATGGCCACACCTAACTCCAGCAGAGGCTGGGAAATGTAGTCTAGCTGTGTGTCCAAGATAAACTAAAAATTGTTTTGGCAGTCTGCTAGCAACCTGAGGTGTACACCTCAGCTCCGGACTCCAAGTCTGCCCTGATAATTTCCCTGGAAGGAATGTGAGGCCTGAACATCAGAGTCAAGCTTCTAGGTGCCCACCATAGAGGTATCAGTGATGATTCTGAGATTCCCCAGAAGCACAGCAACCATGCAGGGGCCCTTCCTGTGAGTCTTTTGTCAGCCATGCTTTGTTATATTCCCTCATTCATAGTCCATGACACTCGAGAGATCATCAGCTTTACATTACGGGGATTACATTGAAAAGATGGGATTTGTGTGCACAGGTTTACATTTCAAACCTTGGAAATTGAGTCTTTCTCATTTCCTTTTTTCCTAATTTGGCATTGATTTTCTTCATGCTTGAATAAGCGTTTTAATTCTGCCAAGGTGGAAGTTCAAATTTGCAACATTTTTCATTTCAAAAACGAAAGCTAAAAACGTCTGATTAATTTTCAAGAGCTAGAAAAGGTTAGTTTTTTCCCACCCCCATATAACACAAAAATGGATGTGCTAATTTAGCTGAAATGTTATGAAATATGTACTATTGGGTTGAAACCAAGTATGGAAATTCCATGAACATTTCCCACTGTGATATCTCTTGAGAGACACCTGTTCACATCCTACCAAACAGATTTCTATTCCCATAATTAAAATGTAAATACATCCAATATCGGTAAAAGAAATTCACCTACAGATTTGGGGATGCCTCAGCTCTCTGAGCAAGTTTGATCCTTTGCAACAGCATCTTGGATGATTCTAGTGATGCAACAAGACATCCTGCATTATACATGAAGATTAGCAGTAATTGTTAGGATTCTATTATGGTTATCTTAAACTAAGAATTTCAATCTAGAATCACAATTTCTCTATAGTTTAAATTTCCTTCTACAAATACTTTCCAACAACCAACTAGCATTATGAATACTTTGATTCTTAATGAAATGATTAGTACAAGGACAGTTGCATGTCAGATGTTGTAGAACATTTTGGAAGCCAGTTTCCCACAGCATTTAAAGTTCTTGGAATTCCATTGATGATATTCTCACACTATGCATGCTCAAAAATTCACTGGCAACACACATCTGTGTTTACCCTTCTAATCATGACAATACCCACAGTACTTTTCATATTCCTAAAGGATTGAGTAATACCTTCAGAATCTTAGAAGACAAACATGACTTATGTTGGGCCTGAAATTATCCTACCATCCATAATAGGAAGAATCTAAAATTGGAAATCACTTACATACTCGAAGCAGACGACTGTCAGAACTTCATATTTCTGGCTCAAGGGTAAATTAATATGATAGAAGGATCTGCAAAGTAATGCAAGAAAAGACCTAGCCCTGGATACATGGGCCTTTGGAATCTTTTTATTTTTTTTTCCCCTCTTCATCTGCATTCCAAATCAATTCCCTTTGAATTAGGAAATTTTTTCAGTATATGGAATATACATTCTTGTGCATCTTACTGCATTTTTGACCACAACAAAAACACATGGAGGCAATCACAGGATGTGGAGGATCATCAATCCTTCCAAGTTGTGTAGACAGGAAAATGTTCTCCACTCCTGATTAGCCTTCCTAACAGGGACTTAGAAAAGGAATATAGACACCAAACAGTTAATTCCCTACAACTCTGGAGAATAGTCAGAATCAAAGGATCGGAAAGCACTTGAAACCAGATGTACTAAATACATTTGTCACTCTTCTTCCCACTTTCTTGGCCAATAGCATTAATTAATCACATCACTCTTTCCTATTTGGCCCGGATATGAGTGAAGAATTGTTCTCAACATAAAGTTTAAGGTATCTACTACCAACTGTCAGTTGATCCAAGTTTTAACTCCATATAAGAAAATCTACTTGTCATTTCTGACATAGAAGATCTCTAGGAGGGAATGAGAGGTAAAGAAGAGTTACAGACCCTTGGAAATCTCTCTATAGGTTCAAATGGCCATATCTACAATAGAAGTTATTTACATTATTCCTGAGGTTATTTTCTTCTGGTTTGACTTTGTCTCAAGAAGCTTTTTAAATTTTTTAAAACATTTTTTAGTTAAAAAATTTGTTTTTGAAAGACAGAGACAGAGTGTGAGCAAGAGAGGGGCAGAATGAGGGAGACACAGAAACCAAAGCAGGCTCCAGGCTCTGAGCTGTTAGCCAGCACCCGACATGGGGCTCAAACTCAACAATCATGAGACGAAGTCAGATGCTCCACTGACTGAGCCACCCAGGCGACCCCCTCTTTGCCTCAAGAAGCTTTTGATGCCTTTCTGGAAGGCACATCTGTGATGACCACATAAAGGATGAAGAGCTTGACAGAGGCAGAAGTTGAACTTCCATTATTTACACAGTATCTTTTCCTTCTCCGAAAGTCCAACCAGTTATCAAGCTGTGGGACATACAGGCTATCAAATATAGTAGCTTCAAAACAAAACAAAACACAACACCCAACAGACCAGAATAGCAGCCATTGTAACAGGGCAGGGGGACAAGATGAGGTTTTAGTGGCTCATTTCTCTCTTCTGCGTCTTCGAAAAGTAAAATCTCTGTTGGCCCTTAAATTTTCAGTCATCTAGTTACCCAGCAGAAATTAGTTCTGAATCATAGACAAAAACAACACATATACAAAAACATATGCTAGCAGCTTTTGTACTAACCTCAAATCTATCTTAGCTTTCTTACTCATACTTGCCCTGAATATCCTAAGTTTTAACTTTTTTCAATATTATGTTGTTTTTAGAAATCTTAAATCCTTTTGGGAACAAGGCAAGACATAAATACATAAAAATGAATTAATATATAAATACATCAAAATCTTTACCACCAGTGTTCTTACATTTCACAGTCCACAAATCTTCCACAGAAGGTTAATATCTTCCAGAAATTGTATAATTGCTTTGCTGTTGTGTTTTTTAGCCAAAGAGGTCTGTTTTTCAAATTATCCAAGAGGCATATGTTAAAGTCATGCTAATATAGCTAAGAATACCATCACTGATATTATTGATTTTATGGTTACATTTATCCACTGGCGCAAAGTCCTTCATTTGCACCTTTAAGATATGGTTAGACCTTTTTTTCCATGTGGACAAGCTAAAGCCATCAAAAGTATGCTGTATTTAACCAACGCCTCAGAAAACACCAGAGCTATAAGAAGTTGGCTCGTGTCCCCAGGAATTAATTGTCCCGTGAGAGAAGACATTATTCTTTCTTTTTATTTATATCTGTGAAATCTTGCTTTTAACTTGACCATGCTGAAGAAAATAGTGTTTCTCAGGCAGCTGATAGACTGTGAAATTAAGTTCAAGAAATCAGATCGCTTGTAGGAGCAATCCTTATCCTTGAGTCCTTAAACTTCTGTCACCACAGACTCAAAGAAATCTGGCTTTGGATTCATCCATCAGTTTCGTTTCCTCTATTCATGTTTGCAAGTTAGTGGAAGAAACTGGTGGTTTTGCAATTGGCAGGAGAAGGTCAAGTGAAAACAAAGCTTTCTTGCAGGCATTTTTGCTGGCAATAGTGTCCTTTTCTCCTTTGAGTCTTCAATGCATTTCTTAGTTTTGAAAATATTTTCCTTTTGAAGCCTTCTCACCAAAGCTGTCAGCAGGATTTATGACAAATGTAACTCATGGCAGACAAGAGCTGTTTCTTTCTTCTACACCTGCCAAATGCATTGCTTTTTACTTGGGCATTTGTAACCATTGGTGGTTTCCACTATGATGCTGAAATGAACTAGGTGCCATGCTAAGAAGGAGCCTATTGTCTTGCTGATAAGAGGTGGCTTCTTATCATCCTACACAATAAAATTAAACCTGCTATTTGCTATGTGCACTATTTATGTGTCAGGTGCATGGTGTACATTATTTCTAAATCAAACAAAAACAATAGAGAGCTATTATTATTATTGTCCTTATTGAATAGCTTCAAAAACCATGTCAGAGTAATTAAATAGCAATTAAATGGGTGACTGAAAACCAGATGGAAAATTAGAATTTAAACCCAGGAAAATTTGAATTAAACACTTGGATTCCATACCATCAAGCTTCATCATAAATGTTCTCTGAATACATTTCACCCGGGCTTCAACTTTTCAAAATACAATGTTTATATTAATTACATGTTATACATCCCTTGAGGAGAGTCACCTTAGAGTGTTCACATCTACTCCTCTTTCAAGAATAGAAAATGTCTAAATTCATGGAATAGTACACAGTGTTATATTTGGTTTGATCAGTTTTGTAATGAGCTGCTTTTGAGATCAGCGGTCATTTGAAATGTTCAAAATGAGCGCTACGATAATTCAGGAGCAGTGAAAATAAATCCACCAGTCTTCTAGCAGGACATGCATGCAGCATTTTTCAAAACACAGATAAAACTAATTGCCAAATGTGATTGGCATATTAATAAAATCAGGCACCTTATTTGGACTTAAGTTATTTTCATTTTAATATTTTGTGAAATTTTTAAAGACATTTGAAGGAATTTTGTCTTTCATGCTTTGTTAAAATTTAAATAACTTTTTGGCATGTGTACCTCCACTTTTCTCTTATACTCTGTTGTCTCTTTGCTCCAATTTTGTCTTTTGTTTTGAATTTGTAAAATAGTATTTGATCCAGTAAGAATGATATGGAGTTTATATAAGAATGTGTCTGTCAGGGCACCTGTGTGACTCAGCTGGTTAAGTATCTGACTCTTAATTTCAGCTGAGGTCATGGTCTCACAGTTTATGAGATCGAGCCTCTTGTGGGGTTCTGCACCGACAGCTTGGAGCCCAATTGGGATTCTCTCTCACCCTTTCTCTCTGCTCCTCCTTCACTCACTTGTGTTCTCCCTCCCAAAAGTAAATAAACTTTATTTTTCTTAACTTTTTAAAATGTTTATTTATTTTTGAGAGACAGGGAGATATAGAGTAAGGGGGGGGGGGTGCAGAAAAAGAGAGAGACACAGAATCCATATCAGGCTTCAAGGTCTGAGCTGTCAGACAGAGCCTGACATGGGGCTCAAACCCACTAATGGTGAGATCATGACCTGAGCCGAAGTTGGACGCTTAACAGACTGACCCACCCAGGCATCCCCAAAATTAATAAACTTTAAAAAAGTAATAAAAAAAAAGAGAGAGAGGGAATAAGTCTGCCCACTAGAAGCAACACTTTCCCAATGTAGTTTCCTTTTTACTTTTCATAGAACATTCTGGACCTTGAAAACTGTCACAAGGCAATAAAGAAATCTATATGCCAGCTTAGAAATATGTCATTTCTGCTCATTTTTCTTACCCTTTCCCAGGCATATAAGAGCAAATAAATAAGTCTAGTTTTCTGGATTCTGAGAATTTTCGCCTTTCTGTCTGTGTTTTGATTGTTCGTTTATTTAGTTTAAGGGCTATTTTTGAGTGTCTTGTGTGTGCACCGAATACCATATAGGTGTGGCGGCCATGGCAGTGAAATATAGAGCTGCCTGAAATCAATGTGGTGAGGTTTACAAAAGGGGAAAGATGCTGTGTGTTTTGAACCAATTTACTCAGGAGGATTAGATCACAAACATCTTCCCTGAACAAGTGATGATTGTGCAGAAAAATTCAGGAATTAGCCAGAGTGGACGTGGCCAAGGAGGAATAGTTGGGCTCTCTAGCACCACGAGCCACTTTTATGAGCGCCATTAAATGAAATGAGAAGCCAATGTCTTCCCTTGTTTAGAGTCCATTGCCAGTATTCAGGACATATTTCGGAAGACTGTTTGCCAGTGTCTAAAATCAAACTTTTAGGAAATGCTTTTTTGGTACCGTATTCCTATCTTCTCATACTTTGCTTGTTTTTCAATTCTTGGCTAGGAGGAGAAAGAGATGAGGGTTAAAAGCCAGATGAGGTTTCCGCAGTATGAGCGAGGAGGTATTTCAAGATAATTTCAAAGGAACAAGAATCATGTTTTATTTCTTACCACGGGCACTGTGAGAAGTTCTTCTTTTAATTTAATAGTATATCTCTGAGATTGATATGTTTTCCCTTTCTTTCTCCCATGGAGAAAACTAGGGTGTGGAGAGGGTAAGTTTCTCATTCTGTATGAAGGAGAGCTCGAATGTAACATGAGGGGCTCTTACTCGAAGGCTCATGTTTAGTGTCTCTCCAGAGTAGTGAAGGTACTGAGGTGCCTCAGCTAGCACATGCTTGGGAACAGTGACAGTCCAATTTCACTAAAGGCAGCAAAGCATGCAGCAAAGCATTCAGAAGATGAGGCTGGAAGGTAGGGTGTGGTCTGAGAAGTCTACAAACAGATGGAATGGAAATCATTGTCTATGTACTCAAAGCTCACTTTGTTTCTAAGCAGGTAGCATCTCCTCATCACTACCCCACGCAGGGGTATCTGACCATTCCCAGCAAAAGGGGCTTCCTTATTTCTAAGGATCATGTCTATTCCCTTATCAGGAAATCATTCAGTAACATAGACCAGAGCCAATTAGCACTCATCACTCCTCAGCACACTGGGGTGTTTTTAGGAATGGCATATGGCTGGATGGGCATGACTCCAGTGGACCAGTGAGATGGCCAGAGGGACTTTAAGAGATCATCAGAGAAAAAGATATATTGATTAAAAAAATAACTACTGCAAGAAATGGAGGGTTCGGAACTACCATAGTCATTTTACCCCCAGCCTGAAGGAGAACCCCAACTAATGTCTGATCTATTAAACAGGGATACTAATAAAACCACCTCATAGGGTTTGGGGAGGAATATATATCTTAGCATTCGACACTCAGTAAATGGTAGTTTTATAATTATAAGTTAAGCCACAGTGAAAGCTTTATGATTCTGATGAAGGGTGAAAATTTAGTAGTTATATTTGACTTTAAGGATTTTAATCTTTACATTTAATACTTAATATAATAAGTCATGTTTCATGGAAGATTTGCTATGTCTGCTTCTTGTTTTATAAGAATCAGAGTCAGTAAATTTACTGTTTCTCCAGATTTGGGGCAAGGCAGAGATATTGGGTGTGAAACTGATCACAATGTAAAAGATTATTAACTTGCATCAAGTAGAATTGATATCCAGCTCAGGTTTCATACCTCACAGCACTTGTGAACCAAAAAGAAAAGCAGGCTTTTGTGAATCAGATTAGATAAGAACCTAGGTCCCTTTCTGATTGTGAACTTTCTACTTTCAGTTCTATAAATCGCCTAGATCTGAAGCATTCGAAGTAACTAAGGCTAATATATGGAACCTCTTTCGATTGTCAACTGAATTCAAGAACAAGGTATTTGATTACAGAATTCATTCCAGGGCAGAAATTGAAAGAGCAGGAGGAACACATTTCATGAACTTCAACAAAGGTAACTTGCATATTCATGCTCTTTTGGCAATTGAGTTTTTTTGGTTTTTTTTTTCTTTTCTGTCACTGAAAGACATATTGGAGGAGAAGGGGCAAACTGCTAATGTGTACTGCTTTAACATTTGCCATGACTTTACTTACAGCTCATTATCTCGGCCCTGAAGAATGCTGGTACAACAATGAACTTATGCATTTTTCAAGTTTTTAATGGAAATAACAAGAATACTCTCACATGTAAACAATTATCTTTAATTGTTTTTTTTTTTTTAAGTTACTTGTTTTCACAGAGAAAGACGGGCAGAGAGAGACAGAGAGAATCCCAACACTGTTAGTGCAAAGCCTGATGTGGTGCTTGAACCCACAAACTGTGAGATCATAACCTGAGCCAAAACCAAGAGGCAGATGCTTAACCACTGAGCCAACCAGGTGCCCCCAAAAATTGTTTTTAATTTTTCTAGCATCATTTTAAATTTCCTATTTATATCCCTAGTAGTGGCAGGAGTGGAATAAAGGAAAGGGTTGTGATTTTTATTATTAATTGCAAGAACTGTTAATAATTACTATAAAATCTGGTTTTAAACATATTTTTCATGAAGTGCTTTTCATTTAATTTCATTTTTTTTTTTATTCATTTCACGTATAGGAGGGGAGCATGACCATTACTGCCATATACCAACTCAGGTCTTTGACAGGTAAGATCAGGTAGTAGGTGTGGAGAGTCCAAAATGTAGAAAAGAAGTCAGATATGGAAAAGGAAAGAGAGAAAGGTCAAGGCCAATCAGCAAGCCAGAAGTACAAATAACTATTCTCAAGTGTGAGTTGGGGATATAACAGCAGGCCTAGCCCCAACTCTGCCCAAAATGCCCAGAGCTATCTGCACTGATCAATACTGACAAATTCAATATACTGTGCAGAGCGTGACTGTCTTTTTTATCTTGTCAAAATGCAATTTTAAAAGAAGTGCAATTATAGAAAGAGCCCCCTCCCCCAACCTAAAAAGGAAACCCCTGAACTCACCGCTATAGCATCAAGCCATATGAACCTTCGGGCAACTCTCAGACTATTCTTGTTTACTTAGCCATGAAATTGGGCAGAAGCAAAAAGCTCAGCAAAGCTCTCACCAGTGGCATGGGGTAGAGAGCTGCAGTCTGTGTGGGATGACCCCTAGCCACCCTTCATCTCTCCTGCCCGACAACTCTTCATACTGCCTTTAGGGTCATTATCTTCAAACTGAGATCCTGTACTGGCTTGCTAACTAAATATGCAGATTCCCAGATTCTAACAGTCTGGGCATGGCACTCACTTGCCTGTACTTGACGAGCACTTCAATGTGAAAGAGTTTTCTCTAAGTCCTTCTTCCATCTAACTACCCTTCCCAAATCTGCTCTTAAGTGGCTGTAAATCGATCTTTGCAGAGGTATTAAAAATAACCGTGGTGTTCACAGATAGTATTTAAAGGAGCAACTCCTCCCAGGAACTTTGCATTTTTTAGAGGGTGTTTCCATTTCTTAAGTGGTCTCCAAGAAGGTAAGATGTCTGTTTTTGATGAGAAGAAGGGAACTGTAATACTAAATTTTTTCAAAGTCTGCTTAGTTATTTTTGAGAGAGAGAGAGAGAGCACGCGCGCACGAGCAGGGACAGACAGAGAGAGAATCCCAAGCAGGGAATGTGGGGCTTGAAATCACGAACCATGAGATCATGACCTGAGCTGAAACCAAGAGTCAGACGCCCAATCAACTGAGCCACCCAGGCACCCCAGGAGCTGCAACACTAGAAAGAAGATGGCTTGTTGATATGTAATATGAGATGTGCAAATGCTCAAATAATAAGTTTAATAATTACAACCAAGAATCAGGGAACACAGATTTACTATGTGTCATGTCCATTGTAAGTAATACTGTCAATTTTTATCACAAACCATAGGAGAGGTAACAACCCCTTTTTAATGACGACAAAAACTGAAGCTTGAGTTGGTGAAATGCCTTGTTTCATGACCATACACTTAACAGATGCCTAAATCAGAATTTTAATTTTCTGTGATTTTAGCCATAAAGCTCAGTCTCTTTCTATTAGATCCTACTTCTTTCTGCAAAACAGCATCTCACAAAGTACACAGTAGACACCATCCTTAGAGAATTCCTGTGACATCCATTTGGTTAAAGTTGCTGAAAACCCTAATTATTTTTTTGAACGATTAAAGCATTTTACATGTTTCTAGACATTTTTTTAATCAGGTTTAGTGCTGCTGGGTTGAAAATGTGTCATTTTCATTAGTGCCCTGAGATTCTTTCTGCATCCAACTCTTTCGTGTTTACTACTTCAGTCTCATTTCTTATCACCTTTCAAAGAGGTGCCTGGCTGAGATTTATTATTTTTAGGTTGCTTTCAATGCTATGAATCAACTCCAAAGAAAGGTTATGGATTTTCAGAGATGTGTAGGACATGTGGAGATTTATTTGTATGATTCTTACTTATTGACAAGAGAATGTATTCCCAGGGTTTATCAGCTTGTTCTGTTAGTTTGACATTTAGTTGAAAGTGTTTGCCACTTGGATTCTCAAGGAGCACAATCTCTTTCCTACATTCCTTTCTCAGATCTATCCGGAGAAGACTTCCTACATGCTCCATCTAAATGCATTTGAACGACTATTTCAGTTTGGGTTTGTTTTATTTTGTTTTTCTCCAGCAAGGGCACAAAGCTAAACATCTCAAACCCATGAGACATGTTTGGGAATCTTAGCAATTTTTTGAACTGAATATAACTTTTACTCAAAGACACGGCTGGAAGAACTTTGGAGTCCTTTGGAAATGGTAAGTGTTCTTTAAGCAGCTACATGGAGAGAGGCCACCATTTTGAATTGTTCAAGGTAAGTCAATGCAGAATATAAACCATACATGATACTCGTCCTTGGTACATTCATTATGTTTGCTGATCCTAGGCTTCCTCGTCCTGAGATGTGGCCAGTGTAGACATAGGCAGGACCCTTTGGGAGGTGAGGAGAGAAAAAAGCCATGTATTTGTTCCCCCTTCTTCTTTGCCTCAGGCAGGTTCATGGGCATTGGCTCTAAGCAGGTCACTAGCTCCTGTGGGAGAGATCTGCCGTGATTCCAGCTTCTACCTAGTGACCCTGGGCTCAGGGACCACCATTTCCTCTCTGTCTGTCTCTCCAGCCTGTGAGAGGGAGTGGCCTCCTGCTGTTGAAATCTCTTGGGTTACCTCACTGTCTCTTGTTTGGTTTTCAGCTCCTCCGTCACCTGTATGACCAATTCCGTGACAGTAAGTATTTCAACTGGTTTTGCATTTCGGATTAAACCCTGACCTATCCACCTCTATGCATATAACATTCATCATACCATTAATGACATGCTTAAGGTTCTTTCACTGCCTCGCGATAGTGACACCCTAGAGTAATGGGAACTTTGCAACAACCCAACTACTGCCATGACATGGAACTACAATTCAGGACTGCGTATTTGCTATTCTGTGTTTTTGAGTGAATAGAAGGAAATGATTTTGCTGAAAGGATTTTTTAATTGCCATTTTAACCAGACAGTAACCCTTTTTATTTTTACTTACAGGAATTCTTTTGGAAGAAAATAACACACCAGGTGTTTTTTTAGCTTTTTTGTTTTTTGATCATGTTCAAAGTTACTACATCATCTAGTGAAATAATTCTATTCCAGGTACATTCCAAATAACAATTATCTATATAAATCTCTTAGTTTTCTAAGCCAGCACAAATATAAACACCCTATCAAATATTCTCATAACATCAACTTTATAAGACATGGACTAATTTATAAAAACCTCTTCACCTATATTCAAAATATTAACTAATAGTATATTTTGTGTTTGCACAAAGGGTGAAAGAGGGTCAGAATTACTTTTGCCACAGGGCAGCCTGAGCACAGGAAAGCTAACGAGAGACCCCTGTAGGTTGGCCGAATGTTCCCTTGTCATTGAGCCAGGGGTATTGCTGGGGGAGAAACCACTCCTAGCTCTGGTCCCACAGTGACACAGACGAAGCTGTTTTGCTCTAAACCCTGTTTCCTTTTATTCATCTTTGCACAACTGAATTCTGTTTGTAGCTTCCATTGCAGATCAATGAGTCTGCATGTGTCTGAGTTCCGGCCAACAGAATGTGGAAGAAAGTGGCATCCTCCCCTTTCAGGCTGGTTCTTAGAAACTTCCTGATATGTTCTCCACTGGTGTTTGGTTTTCTTTCATTTTGTCAAGGGGAAATAACAGAACTGAAGAGTCTGGGCTGGGTTCCTGAAAGACTGTGTGGAGCAGAGTGGCCCATGTTTCCCAAAGGCTGGTATGTACCAGACTGTGATGTGTGAGCAAATTTGCTTTTACTCTGATGGGTCACTGAAATGTCAAGGTTAGAGTAGCAAGCGTTTACCTTGATTAGTACACAGATAAATTAAGCCCTGACAGGACGAAATTTCAGAGATATACTATTAATCTGAGATCTAATTTTTTCCTCTTGGATTCTTTTTACTACCTCATCCATCTTTTCCTCTCCTTTTCCTTCTTCTGATTTCCCTATGTTCATTTTAATATGGAAAATAGGCTCTGTTGAAATATAAATTAAGCAGGGCATGCTGCCAAAGGCTTGTCTTATGGGGTGCCTTGAGGCTTTAACTTGTATTTTATTTTCCATAGCTATAGCAAAAAAAAACTTTTTGTTGGTCTTTCTTTTGAGGGGTAAAACATCAGGAGCAAATAACAGGGATTTGCCCCACCTGCTTGCCAAGCTGGACAAAAGACTGGCTCTATGTTTATAGCTGTTAGGTTTTTCTAAAAGGGTCATCAATCTCCTCTCTTTTGCAAGAAATAAGGCATGAAGGAGCTCTTTTTATTGGGACCTTAAAAAAACATCAAGAGTTGGCAGGATCTGAAGACAGAATAGGAAAAAGAAATAGGCTCAGGATATTTGATGATATTCTAAGACCAGGGGCATGCTAAAGCAAATGGACCAAACGAAGTATGCAGGGGGCTTTCCATGTAAGTGCTTAGGACCAGTGGATGGGCTGCTATCAGGGCTGATCTCATACTTATCCCCATGCTTCCTGAATAATTGACAAACCACCCTGTGAAATTCCTCCTTAGATTTCCCAAAGCCACAACATATACTTTGCCCTGAAACTAGCCCCAGAATGACAAGCACTTAATTTTACAAACTTTGATCCAGGAACAGCCACTATTGTCTTGGATTTTTAGAAGAACCTCAGGGAAAAGGCAGATGCTCTCATTTTGTGTTTGTCTCAACCTATCCACAGGGATGCCCTGACTAGGAATACCTGGAGGCATTCATTTGGGTCATACTACCTGTGGTGAGTTCTCCCCCACCCCAATCAAGAACTTTGGACAAAAGGTTTATTACTCACAATTCCCAGAGACTACACCACACACCTGGGCCACTCAGGGAAGTTATGGGGAAAGAGAGTATGTGGACTTGGGGTTCTGCCTATATTGGGATTGAGGGTGAGATGCCTAGGGTTTTACAAGTTTACTCTTCACAGGTGAATGTAAACCATAAGAGCGGGGAATTAAGGCGTGGGTCACTTACCTAGATGACCTGGGGCTTTCTAAAAGGGAACTTCATGGCTGGGCTGCCTGGCTCTTATCTAGTTGTCTAGCTGGCAATGTGTTTATCTGAGATGGATGTCCTTGAGACGGATAGCTCAGCAATCAAAAGCTTGATGTAAGGCACTTGCACAACCATCACAAATGCTTATCATCAGGCACTTACACTATATAGCCCTTCATCTAACAGATGAAGAATCCCAGAATCAGTGTAAGGTAAGTTCACCTACACCACATAGGAAGCCAAAGCTTCAACTGGAATTTACAATCAATCAGGCCATCTTGTATCATATGACTTCTATATTTGATGTAGTTTTCTCATTTTCCAAAAACACTTTTCTCCTGTCCCAGAAAAGGCAAACAGAAAGAAACTTTCTCATTGTTTCCTTTTCATTCCTTCTTCCTTCCTTTCAAAACGTTCATGAATGGCAGCTGAAATTCAGGATGATGGTATTTCACCCACCCCTTTGTTAATATAAAAATCAAAACTGATCTCCTGCTTGGCTCTATATTTTTACAGAAGCATCTAGGGCCCAATTCTTTTGTAAATAGTTGCCTAAAACAAAAAGAATACCATATTCCACTGTATATTAGTTCTCTGAGCAACAATAAGACACAGGAAATAAAAGAAGCCATAGAATACTTCTATAGCAGAATGAGCCTTTGACTCCATTAGAAATCAAAAGAAAATGTTTCAGTAAAATTCATTGAATAATAAAAGAAAACCATGAAAATAAAACAAATCAAGAACAAAATGCTTAGCCTTGATTCTATTATATAAAAATATTTTAATTACATATTGTTTCTTATAAAAGTAAAGCATGCTTATTTCTAGACATTTTGGAAAAAGGCAAAGAATATAAAGAATAAAATACAAATCACCTATTGGTATAAGGATAATCAGTATTAACATTTTGTTATATTTTCTAATCATTTCTTTGCTCATTAAACATGATAGTTATGTATGTACATTTAAGACCTCTTATATTTAAAATAGTCCATGCTCTCTTTTTAAAAATGTAACATATAATACTCAAAAAATTTTTTAAGCACTATTATTAGTCATAAAATGATATTGCATAGACATACTATGACTACATGCTTCATTATTTCCTTAGTGAAAGGCATATACTACCAAATTTGGGTACTACTACTAACGATGTGCAACACCTATTTCCTGTTATTGGATTCTTACTGTTTTTGCACTCTGATGAGAAGGACAGACATATAGCAAGCAACTAATCAGAGCCAGAGCTAAATACAACTCTTTATGGAGGCTGGAGTAGTCCAGCACTCATTCAAGCACTCATTCATTCAAGTATTTTTTAAATTTTTTTTTTTTAATGTTTTTTTTTTATTTATTTCTAGGAGAGAGAGAGCGTGAGCAGGGGAGGGTCAGAGAGAGAGGGAGTCACAGACTGAAACAGGCTCCAGGCTCTGGGCCGGTAGTCAGCACAGAGCCCGACGCGGGGCTCGAACCCACGAACCGTGAGATCATGACCTAAGCGAAAGTCGGACGCTTAACTGACTAAGCCACCCAGGCGCCCCTCATTCAAGTCTTTTTTAAAGAACTACTTTTTTTTTTTGCAATGGTTCTATGAGGGATATGTCAGTAGACAAAATTTATAAACAATACTGGCTTCGTGGAGCTTGGGTGCCAGTGTTCTCATTTATTAAGATAGAGAAAAGAAGAATAGAAATAGTGTTTTGTGAGGGTTTGGGTGGTAGGGGGTGGCTGGGAAGAAAGCTGGTAAAGATGCATAAAACTCTGCTTCTGAGATGTTGGATTTGGGATGCCAGTGAGGTATGCAAGCAAAGATTCACTGAAGGAGATGAGAATGATCCTGGGCTAAAGACCCTGACTTGGGCTACCACCAGGGGGGTAGTAGATGTAATCACCCAAGGGAAAAGGCGGACTAAGAGTTACTGACAGTGTAGGACTTGACCCCTATGGGACACCAACATTTTAAAAGGTATTTGCTAAGGGAATGGAAAGAGAAAAGAAGGAAACCCCTAAAATTGTGTAGCCATGGAGCCAAGGGAAATGTATTGCCAGAAAAAGGAAATAATAGACAATGCTAACCCTTCTGAGAAATCCACCAAAATACAGACAGACAAGTGCACACTGCACTTAGAAACATGAAGTTCTTAACCAACACAGATTAGAAATATAACTCAGAGGCTACAAACATCTTTAATCTCTTACCTCTACTGTCATTCATTTTAGCTACTCCCTTCTGTGTCTACACCTCACAATGATGTAGTGATCTGTTACTGTGCCAGTCCTGAAATCATAAAGTCAGACATTACATTCTGTGACCATAAACATCATTTCTCACATATCATGCACCAAATGCTTCTGATGTACAAAGCTACTTCACATTAGGCCTCTCCGTAAATATACTTTTTAAAAATATATATCCATTAGCCCTTCCCATTCCTCAGTCCAACACTCTCCCAAGAAGCCTGCACAACTTTGACTTAGGAAAACATGAATACTTTGGAGACATTGATCTTGTGACAATGTGCCTCCACTTGGGAACAATGGAAATGTTAGACTCAACATAAAAACACGATGTATTCAAGATTTTTTTAAACAAGTGAGAGATGAGATCTAGCAAATCTCCTTAATTATAAAAGGCACCAAGAGGTGCATCCTGGTTCTACAGTTGAAGGTCTAACTGAATTTCCATTAAAAATGCTCAACCCTCTTGAGACATCCAGTTTAAAAAGCCCACCCACTTGCCTGAAATTGTTACTTATTCAATAATCCATTTAGAAATCTTCTAGAGAGAGATAAGGTCTGAATCTATGCAAACAAGAATAGTTGGGCTAAATGGCTATTGTCTTAGTTTTTCTCCCATGTCTTGAGATGAGATAAGGATTCAAGTGTGAGTGGTTTATTTGGGTGTGACACTAGGAAAGAACAATTGGGGAAAATAGTGGGGAGGGGCAGTGAGACAGAGAGAGAAAGTCAGACAATAAACGGCTTGTTATTATACCAAGTAACCTATTGAGTATCTGGAGTTTAGTCCTACTGGGGAACTCAGGGATTCAGTGTAGAACATGAGCCACCTCTCCCTTGCCCCAGGAAGAAGCTGGAGTATTTATATTTGCTAATAACCCTCAGTTAGCAATACCCCATTGGTGGTGAGGGCCAGGTGGGTGGGGGAGGAAGAGGAGGAGAGACAGAAAAGGCTTCAAGAAGAACAGCAGACATCATGAATTACAATGCAAAGCCTTTGCTCCAACCTATCCAAAAATGCTATGATAGTTCTAATATTTTACCTCCTAGGTATAGGATTCTGTAAAATTGTACAGGCTCCTACTTTAGGAAAGGGTTTTGTTTAAAAATTATTTGGATTTGAAAAGTTCTAGATGAATGATATTCAAATTGTTCCCACCTATGTTAATCAGTAGACCCCTTTTCTGCAAAATTTCATTCAAATAAACCAATATGGGGACTGTCAGTTTTGTGTAATGATATAATCCAGCAGAAAGAGACGCATACACATGCAGATGGTTAAATAAGACCTAACGTGAGAATTTGATCTTTCTCCTCATTTTGTTCTCTTTACCTGCTCCTTTAGCAACAGAGGGTAGCTTTATGCTGGCATAGAAACCCCTACATTCTAATAGCTTAACATATCAAAGGGTTATTTTTCAACCACACCATGTCGCTTATGGGCATGAATTTCTGCTCCATATAGCTATTCGTGAACCCACACTGATAAGGGGTCCATAATCTTATAGCTGTAGCCTTGTAAGAGGCAGCCGTTTTAATCGCAGTAACAAGGGAAGGGGAGTATAAAGAATGACACGTGAGTTTCCTTTGTTTCAACTCAGAGGAGACAAATCATTCTTGCCCACATTGGCCAGAACTACTCACAATGCAATGCCTAACTCACGGCACTGAGGACTATAAAAGGGCAAAGAGAATATGTGATGATCATTATTATTTTTGCCACACTTACCAAAATAGCATCCACAGGGGTTTTCTAAATGAGCACTCCAGAATTCTAGTGCTTTCAGCATCCACAAGGAATTCTCGAGGGTAGAACAGTTATTCTGTCCCTGCACCATGTTAATCAAAAAAGTCCTTTCTTCAGTACTTTCTCCATACTGATGTTCCTCATAAGAATTTGTTTGAAGAAAGGATTCTGTATCTTTAAAAACAAAGTTGGAATACAGCAAATATGGCCCTGCTTTTTCATTTTTAAGATAAGGAAAATTGAAACCCACTGGTAAAGACAGAGTTTCTAAGGTCATGCAGCTGGTTAGAAGACCTTGACCAGAAGCTTGCTAGGACACCGTCCACTTTGACATTATGCCCCAAGAGAGTCCTCATTGTTGGGAAAACCTTTTCTCTAAGATGTCTGTCAGGAGTATCTGGAAAAACTTAAGCAAGAGGTGATTTGAGAAAAGAAAAATGAAAGAGGAAAAGAAATCAGGAGAGAGAGGCAGATGTAGGGGGAACAGTTTTGGCAAAGTGAAAAAGGGATAAAGTGAGAGAGCCAGAGAGACACAGAGGTGCACAAGGTGTGAAGAGGCTGGGAGCCCAAATGAGAGAGCCACTCAGTCTAGACTCCAGATGTGAGCCCGTGGCTTCTTCGGTGAGTTCAGTACCGGACTCTGCAAATCCTTCTGCCAGATGTCATGGCCGAGCTACAAATCCTTGGATGCATGACAGAATTGGCTGTTGTTCTGGTTAATGTTTTGCTTCTTTGTGTGTGACTGGTCATTCTGCAGGCTGCTCTCAGGTTGCAACACCAGATAATGACTTCAGTCCTAAAGTTAGCACTTCGGCTGCCTTCAAAGGAGTGAAGCACAGCACTGGAGCCCTGTGAATGCCCAGAGGCAGATCGGTGAAAGTGGACCAGCGGTTATGTTCACCTTCCCACATGGAGGCCCATCTAACCCTAAGAAAGTCAAAAACTATGGAGAGACACAGAGTAAATAAAATAGCAAGAAGCCGCTGCTTGTTGGCAGCAAGACCTTGGGTAAATTGCCTTATCTTTCTGGAACTGCGTTTCCTCAGAAGGATTTAATTAAATGGTCTCTAGTTTCCGTTTGAACATTGACAATCCATCATCTTATAAAATGGCACCATGAAGAAGGATAAACAAGAAAGCCATGTTCCTTCCAAGCTGATATGATAGAACATCAAAAAGCAAAACACTCTGCTTTGTTAAATAAACAAGGTAAAAACTTGTATTTGGTCTCTCCACGTAAGCAACTTGTAGAATCTGGTGATGCATTTAACACATGAGAGCAAAGACAGAACAACTCTATGGGCAAAGAATAGTTCCACAGAAAGGAAACTATTAAAGGGCCAGTTCCCTGCAGCAATTGAGAAGTCAACAGAATTTGTGTTTCTAATTCTTTCAACATTGTTCCGTTCTTTAAACCAAAATGTAGTCTTTGCTATATCCCTACAGGCCTAGGAATTTGATGGCAAGGGAGACAGCTCAGTCTTGACCCTCCTAAGGCTACTACGATGCAGTGCCAGAGGGACAATTACAGGGGAACAGATATGGAGGCTGGGGTGAGAGAGGCAAGCAGACCAGGCTTGGAAGACCTGGGATCAGTGGAAGAAGTGCATTTTTAAGCTGAGTCCTGTCAGAAAGGTGAGGAATAGCCAAAGACATGGAGAAGAACAAGTTGAGGCAACCCCTTGAGACATGTTCAGGAAACTGAAAGTAATGCATTATGACTCTCCCACTAATGCCTGTTGTGCACATGGGCATGCTGCTGATCCTTTCTGAGCCTCAACTCTCTCCTCTGAAAAATGGAACAGTAACAGGTGTGTACACATACATACACACACTCACTCACACGCTTTCTACAGAGCTCACCCCATAAGAGGTGTCCAGAAGATGATAGCAAATCACAATATCACAGTACGGAATTTGGAAAGGACAACAAAGGAGTCAAGATTTTGCCTAAGTTCCTAAGTTTGGGGGACTGGTTAAATGGTGTTGCCACTCACTCACTCACTCACTCACTCAAGGACTATAGGAAGAGAAGACAGATGGGAGGGAAGGGTAATGAGATAGTAGATTCAAGGAGAAAGATCTGGGCTGAGATGCATGCTCAACTTAACACATGTCTGAGAGAAAAATATTGCCCCCATTCCGCTTTTCATGGTCTCTGGAAAAACTCCTTTTCTTTGACCCATGTTGCTATCTCCCCTAGCTGTCAAAGACCTGTATTTTAATAGTGAAAAGTTGAAGATGTTAAGAAAACAAATTATTTCACCACCCTAGGAAGCAGAGCACCAGGACAGTGTGAAATCTGGGATTACCTGAGGCCGAGCTCTTGGGCTGAGGTGAACAGGCTACACAGACAGGGAAAGGCTCCTGCAGTGTTCTCTGAAAAGAAAATGGCGGTGGGTTAATAGGAGGCAGCAGACATATTTGCTGAAGTGAATACCTAAGATTTTCCTGACATTTCTTCCTACCTAATAAATCAAATTAGCTACAAAACATTATCAGTGTAGCAAATCTGCCCGCCCCTTTTCTGTTTTTCATTTCAAATTAATATCAGATGAAACAATTAATGCCTTTCAGAGCATTTTCCAGATCAAAAACACACACTAATCATATGACAAAACTAGCATTTGAAGAGGGGGAAGAAAACAACTTTATTTAACGTACAACTTATTGAAAAATTCAAAGGCTGCCAACTGGGCAGGAAATTAAGGTGAGGTCTCTGAGAAGTCTCTCTGCTCATCAATAGGAGAGAACAGCAGGAGGCTTGGCTGCAGTTCCCTAGATGTTTCCAACGTGAAGTCCTTGTTTAGTGAGGCTACAAACTGTCCCAGATATTATCTCCTTCCCTCCCACCGAGCATAAAATTCTATCAAGCCTCTACTCTAGAATTAAATTCTCATCTTAGTAGGGCTTCTTTTCTGCTCTTTCCTATGACCTCATACTTTCTGGAACAGCAATTTCTGGTTTACAATCCACTTTCATTTAGCCCCTGAGCTCTGTGTTCAGTGCTGGGTAAGCAGAACCCAGAGAGAGCTCAGACTTAGAGTGCAGGTTTTTTTGGTTTTTGTTTTGTTTTGTTGCTTTTCCCTCAAATGGGGGTAGGGATGAAGGGTGTGAGACCCTTGGGAGAGTATTTAATAAGTGTTTATTCATTCTAACTCTGATAGGTAACCAGAACTCTAAGCCAATGCACACTGTTCACAACTGAGCCCTTACATTAAGGAGATAGCTGCTATTCTTGCTTTCAGAAACACAACATTTTGTGTGGACCATATATCCCAGCTCTATGTTTAATACCTGTCTGAAATTGGGCAAGTCTTTACCAGTACGTTGAAATTCAATCTCCTCCCCTAAAAAAAAAAAAAAAAATGGAGAGCCAGATTTTTTTCTGTGCTCCACTATCATTCATGCCTCTATTTCAGAATTCTCTCCTTTAATTGCAGTGATTAATTGCATGTCACTTAGATCATGGACTGTACCTTAGTCATGTCTGTATTCCCAGGTTTTAGAACACTGCATGTTGTAGATGTTCTGTGAGGTTCTATAAAAGAATGAAAAATGTTCTGGCATCACAATATTGTCAAGTACATTAAGAGCAAACATCACAGTTGTCTGAGCTGAAATGCACACCTGCCTTGTCCTTCAATTCCTCAGAAATATGGGATGTAACAAAATGATGCTCAAAATAAGAGGAAGGGAATTCTCATGCTGTTAAAATAAATAAGGAGGTCAAAGCCAGAATTTCTAGCTTGGCTAATACTAAGTAGGCCTAAGGAACACTAGATGAGAATATATACCACACTGACAGCTAAAAGAGTTATAATGCCCATATTGGAGAAAGTAGATGCGGTCTTTTAGAAAAAAAAAGTTTATATATAAATATATATATAAATATATATATAAATATATATATTTATATATATATATCTACCTTGGGACAATTTACCACCCACACCCACCCCTTTGCTGTAAAAACTATGGAAGAATGAGTATCAGCAAGAGAGGAATCCAAACCAAAGAAGGAAGCAAAAGTTCAAGAATCAAAAGTGATCAAGAAACACAGTGAGCAAAGAGACTGATAGTAAAAGTAAGGAAGCATTCCTTCAAACACTCATAATAATTTAGATATATGACTTCGGTGGAGTTTGTGAGCAAGGTGGAAATAAAGCACAAAATAGTAACAACTAAATGGAAAATGCAAAGTTTAAAAAACTTAATGTCCTTAGTTTTGTGGAACTATCGTGGAGAAATTGTTTAACTTTAGATATTATTGAATTAATGCCATAAGAAAATAGAAATAAAATTAATAAATTCTAACCCAGTATAAAAAGAGAAGAAAAGGAAGGGAGGAAAGAAATGAAAAAAGTTTCTATCAATTCAGTTAAATCTGGAAAGAACAGCTACAGGGAACAAAAACTGCAGGGGTGCTTGGGTGGCTCAGTCAGTGGAGCATCTAGCTCTTGATTTCGGCTCAGGTCGTGCATGATCTCATGGTTCATGAGTTTGAGCCCCACATCAGGCTCTCTGCTGTCAGCACTGAGCCTGCTTTGGATCTTCTGTTCCCCTCTCTCTCTGACCCTCCCCCACTTGTGTTCTCTCTCTCAAAAATAAACATTTAACAGATTCTAAATATATTAATAATCTCAATAAAAGTAAATAGATTTAAATTGCTTCTGGGGGGCCTGGGTGGCTCAGTCAGTTAAGCCTCTGACTTCGAGCCCCGCGTCTGGCTCTGTGCTGACTACCTGCTTAGAGCCCGGAGCCTGTTTTGGATTCAGTGTCTCCCTCTCTCGCTGACCCTCCCCTGCTCATGCTGTTTCTTTCTCTCTCTTAGAAATAAACAAAACATTTTTTAAAAAGTTTAAAAAAATTGCTTCTTATTTTCTGTCAGTAACCAAAATACAGAATTGAATCCAGCTACTCGCTGTTCATTAGATACTAAAATGTAAGCACACAAAAGCTTTGAACGTTAAAGGCTGAATATATCTGAGAAAATATCGTTAAAAATAAACTTGCTTAGCCATGTTAATAGCAGATAAAAGAGAATTCCAGGTAAAACTTATTTAGGACAAAGAGAATTATTATAATAATAGAGGAAACATTTGCAAGACTTAATAGCAATGCTAAATTCTTTTGGCAGGTATTACCTGATTTTTGTTACATAGTTAATAACTAGATAGACAGAAGTGCAGTAAGAAACTGACAAAAGAAAAGTTGAAAATGTTGACCAAACTCACAAAAACCAGATCGCCAAGCACATAAAACTTTGAAATTCTTAGGAAAACATTAGAAAAATTCAGAACACGTAAGATTTGAACAAAAATATCACAAGCCACATCTAATGGAAATATATTGAACTCTGTAATCAACAATTAGAGACTGCAAATCTTACCCTACATATTGAACATTAAAAAAATTTTTTTTAATGTTTGTTTATTTTTGAGAGAGAGAGAGAGAGAGACAGAGTGCAAGTGGGGGAGGAGCAGAAAGAGAGGGAGACACAGAATCCAAAGCAGTCTTCAGGATCTAAGCTGTCAGCACAGAGCCCAAAGCGATGCTCAAACTCATGAGCCACAAGATCATGATGTGAACCCAAGTCGGACGCTTCACCGACTGAGCCACCCAGGCACCCCAAACATTTTTTTAAATGACCATCTGCTAGGTCGCAAAAGAAACAGCAACAATAAAAATTTACACGAGACCATGCTGATTTTTTTTTAAATGTTTTTATTTATTTCTAGGAGAGAGAGAGACAGTGTGAGCAGGGGAGGGTCAGAGAGAGAGGGAGTCACAGACTGAAACAGGCTCCAGGCTCTGAGCTGGCAGTCAGCACAGAGCCCGACGTGGGGCTCGAACCCACGAACCGCGAGATCATGACCTAAGCAAAAGTTGGACGCTTAACCGACTAAGCCACCCAGGCGCCCCATGCTTTCTGATTTTAAAGCAGGAAAATTTATATTCAGTTATAAAAGATAACCACAAATTTACTAATTTGAAAATTTAGAAATTCATTTGTAAATAATTCTTGGGACAAAGGAGCGGTTATAGAAGCTGCAAAGTACAGTAAAACCTTGGTTTGCAAGCATAATTCCTTCTGGAAACATGCTTGTAATCCAAAGCACTTGTATATCAAAGTGAATTTCAAGAATCATTGGCTCACTTGTGATCATGTGACATTCAGCATCATGTACTACTTGTACTGCAAGGCATCAATCATTTATCAAGTTACAATTTATTAGAAGTGTTTGCTCATCCTGTGGAACCCTCACAGAACAGGTTACTCGCAATCTAAGGTTTTACTGTACTTAGTACTGAAACAATGAAATATCACATAGCAAAGCTTTGCAATGTTGGTAAAATACTTTTGGCATGTAAATTTATGGCTGACCTATATAGACTTATGTAAATGAGTTCCAGTGCCCTCTGGCTTCCTAAGGGATCCACAGCAAGGGATCAGATTGAAATTGATGTTAGGGGATTCGTTCTGTGTTTAGCCCAAGAGGTAGGCTGGCTGGTCTTGCCCCACAACAGTTCACGGCTCCTCTCAAAGGACTGGACTCTGCTTCACTCTCTGGGCTTCTGGGCTCCAGTAAGCACTCCCTCCCCTCAGCTCTCGGCCTACAGGTTAACTAGCAGCTGCTATCAGCCTTGGGTTACTCTGCTGTCTCTTGCGGTTCCCTCTACCCACATCTTTGTAAACAGTCCTATTGTAAATAAACCCTCCTCAAATTATACTGTTTGGAAAGTGCCATCTGTTTCCTGTTGGGACCATGGCTGAATTAGTGATACAAATTTAATTTAAAAGACCTGAGCACTCTTGGAGGAAGGGGTTGGGGAGGAAGCGCAGAAATGGCATGGCTTTTTTGGTAAAACTATCATCTGCGCATTGGTGCTGGCTGGGTCTGGGAGACACTGCCTTCTTTCCCAGGGCACAGTATGGATTCTTCAGGAACTCCTGCCCCTGGGTATCTCGCCTGTAGCTTCCTTGGCCAGCCACCTCTCCTGCTGGCCACCTTTGGCCACCATTGACTTGCCACTCAGATGCTGTGCTTCTGGCAGGTGGGTAGCTCCCCTTTTCTTCAGGTGAATAGTGAGAATAGAGAGAGGAAATGTAATTGGATGGGTGAAAAGCTAGCATTTCAACTGAATGTGTAAGATTGTATTTCTATATTTAAAAAAAAAGATCTTTATCAATGTCACAAACTATTAGCATTAATATTAACACGTGTTGAAGACGGGGGCAGAGGGGGAGTCCGGTGATGTCACATTATTTTCTGTGTGTTTGACAATATTTCCTACTTAGGAAAACAATAATGTTTAAAAAGACCAAGGTAACAAGGTATGTTAGAGTCTTTCACACAGGACCTGGCACAGAGGGATTTAGCACATTTCTGTCACATGTTATCGCCGCCCCATCCTGCCTCCCAGGCTACCACATGTGATTTCAGATTGCGGTATCTTCTGCCCACTGCATCCCAAAGGTCCCACACCAGTTTGCCAAATGAGATCTTTCCTAGTCCTCTGGTATGGGGTCAAGGTTGGGAAGTTAGGAGAGGAATATGAGAGTTATGTGATTTCTTAAAGAGTTTGAGCCCCAGATTTGGGCACTCTCCAATCACATAAGCCTGCCCTTTGCTTGGCTGTTTTCTCCTCTCTGATTTCCTTTCCCTTAATCGGATCATCTTCACCCCAGCAGCCATTGCTTCTCTTTGGGGGGAAAACTTCAACCCCTCTTTATTTCCTTATCTCTGCAAAACCACACTCCACTTCTCAGTAATTCAGGAAATCTGTGAGCAGCGGGAGGTAGAACGTTTGCCTTGTGGTCCCAGTAACAGGGTAACAGGACATAGAAGGTTCACTGGGAATGTTTGAAGACTGAATAAAAAGCCTCTATCAGGACTGAAACAAGAGCTTGGAAGCACTTTATATAATTAGCTCTAAGATTCTTCTGCATTAAAGAGACTGTCATGAACTTGAATCATACCCTTTAAACTTGTCCTGTCTCATCAGCAGACTCCAAGATTTTCCCGTACCTATCAGCCAGGAGTTGTTAATTTGTATGTATTTGTATAAGATTATATGGCATATAGAAAAATAAATTGTTCAAGCACCATCTTTCAACTTAGAGATAAAGAAATTGAAGCCTTACTGTTAGTGGCAGGCCAGATTTGAAGTCGGGCTTTTCTCTGACTGCAGGTCTGGTGCTTTGTCCAAGTGTCAGGTATGATATATGGATACCTGTAAGAGCACAAAAGGGTTTTCTCAGTTAACAAGTACAGTATGATACTCTTTTAGTTTAAAACCTAAGAGAAACCACTGGCCCACGTTATACAAACATTTTTATTAACATATTCACTTATCAAAAACTGTAAGGGACCTATTACACACCAGACATTGGAGTCCATAAGGGTCATACAACTCTTTAAAGAAGCCAGGGTGCATTTGCCCAAGATATGTGGGTTTAAGTGACAGAAGGAGTTATTTTAGGTATGCCTATAAATTTAATACATTTCTTTTTAGGAGCACATCATAATGTTCTCCCACTCTTTTAGAGAATAATGTTGGCTCAACATCTTGGTGCTTTCATGCTATCTGGGACTTTTCCAGTTGGTTTTCTGATAATAAATTTTTGAAGAACTGTCATTGGCTCCTATGTCCTTCCTCTAACGTGAGTAAATGCTTTTCTGCATCCATGTTTGGGACCCACTGAGCCACTCCTCTGTTACTAAGAGCATCACAAGAAAGATGGTGCCCAGTTGCAGTGTGCTGGCCATCACAGAGAAAGGCAATGTTTTCAATCAGCCACCATTTCTTCCGGCTGATGTGTTGAAGCAGGAAGGAAAAACAACAACATGCATCCCTAGCAGAGGCTCCTGGACAACTCTGAGGCTAACAATGGACAAATTTATGTGTGAACACAAGAGCAGCAAGGATAATCAGAAGCTAATGAAGGAGGAGGGAACAAGCCTTTCTTTTGCCTGTGGTACAAAAGTCATCTACCGCTTGTAAGGGTCAAAACTCTCCCCTATCAAGGATAACATTTTCACTTTTCAAGGCACTTGCCAGCATACTGCCATCTGGTCCTTCGGATATCACACAGCAATGACCAAGAAATTGAGGCTTGCCAAAGGCATGTTAAGTCCCAATGACAGAGCTGAAGTCTAACCCAAAAGCTGACAGAATGAGACAGGTAGAAGGTTAGAAAGTCTAGAAAGGAAGTAAAAGGAGAGACCAAAGTTATCCTACTCTTGGTAGAATGATCTTTGTGTAGAGCCTTAATATCCTAGTTATGGTCTAGGCTATGTCATGAGGCAGATCTGAGGGGACAGATGCAATTGATTTTGGAAAAAAGGTTCCAAAAATTTAATGAAGACTATTAAGATACTAATGGTTACCTAACATAGTCATGAGAAGTGATACAAGTTGGTCCTGATCATGACTCAAAAAATATTCAAGTGCATTTCCTTCATTGATTAACCAATTGGAGCTGCTTTTTTTTTCTTGTATTGTAAATTTTTTCTTTTTCTTTCCTAAATAGTTTACTGTCAAGTTGGTTTCCATATAACACCCAGTGCTCATCCCAGCAAGTGCCCTCCTCCATGCCCATCACCCCCTTTCCACTCCCCCACTTTTGGAAGGGGAGCCGCTTTTTGAAGTGGCTCTAATGAGATTCACTTTTCAGGCACTGGAACTTCTCACGAGACTGGCCAAGGCATAAAGATGTTAATTTTTTTTCTTCACTAAGCATTCAATCTCTGTATCTTAAAAAAACCAAAACCAAAACAAACAAAAAAAAACCCCACTCCCTCTTGCACAGAACCCACAGTGCTTATATTTCTATTATATTCTACAGACTTTATTTGTCCAAAAAGTCTGACTTTGAACCCCCAAAGTCAAGCCATATTCTAGGACATGCTGACTATTCTCTATCACTATTTTCATATCTCCCATATTTCCCCTAGCCCTTATACTCTGATCCAGCTGTGGTGATTAATACCCTGTATTTTACACTGTAAATTGCCCAGCTAACCATTTCCTGCCTGGACTATGGACTTTAAATTAACCCTCTTCCTCAGGAACTTGTGGTGATGACTCTTAAAAAAAGAAGGGGATTAACACAGATGACTGTCTGAATTGCCTGTTAGTGTACTGTTTTGTGTGTGGGGAAAATAAGGCTTGGACTGGGTAGTAACTTGTCCTGTGTCACACATGAGAAGGCTGGTCCCACAGAAGCTATACCATCGCAGTTTGTTCATATGAACATAATTTAATCATAGAACAACTGTTTCATCTAGAGCTTTATGTTTGGGCAGAATTATAATGGCAGGAAGGTACAATTCTCCTGCATCTTCAAGTTAGAATAGACACATAATGACATTTATAGGAAGACACTGTTCCCAGAAGCCTCACCAAGCCTCCCCTTCATTTTGGCGCTGAATTTAACCTCCTTTCCCACAGCGTTCCTGGGTTCAGTGGCCTCCTACCCACCTTGCCTTATATTCAGATTCGTATGATCTGGGCACTGAGGTTCTACTTTATAGTAATTTTCTCCCTACATTGATAGTAAAATTCTATTCAGGGGATTATTAAAAAAAAAAAAAAAAAAAACTAAGGATTTTGAAGTAAATTAATGTAACCTGTACATTGTGGGGGTTCTCTGCCCCTCTCCCCTGCTTGCCCACACTCTCTCTCTAAAATTAAAAAAAAAAAAAATCCTTAAAGAATACTGCTTATTCCCCTAGTGCAAGTAGAATAGCCAGCACCTCACCTACTACTGCTGAAGATTTCTTAGGGAACAATCTTTCTCCCAATTACCTAGCTTTCTATCCTGCTTCCGTTCTCAGTCTCCACACTTGACTTCCTGAATATTCTCTTCTTTTCAGCTTTCTATCTTATCATGGGAAAAAACCATGGTGTCTTCAATTCCCAGAGTAGCACTGCCTAAAGATAAGCACACAGCAGATATTACTGAAGGCCTGGGCTACATAATGCTGTTACATTTCAGAGCAATCAAGGAAGCTACTCATCCTTTATAACCTGTGGCCAGTCTCACATTCTTGCCTCTAGAATGTTCTCTATCATCCTCATCTTCCTGGTTTCAGTTTCCCACCATGATGCTGGGCTCTGCATTATGAGTCCCTCCTCTCTCCTCTCTACTTTTATGTTGGTGGCTTTCCCACAACCACAATGTCACTGCTTGTATTATCATAAAGAGCCATTGTCCCTACAGGACCCAGAAACACTTTTCAGATTATCATGATATTGTTTGTCAGATGATGTAAATAATGAAAACATCAATAGTTAAATAAGTAGATACCACAATAGTGTAAAATTAATTTGATTACCAAAAAGAGTTAAGAAATTATACATTATGGGGGCGCCTGGGTGGCTTAGTCGGTTAAGCGTCCGGCTTTCGCTTGGGTCATGATCTCGTGGTTTGTGGGTTCGAGCCCCGCGTCGGGCTCTGTNGAGCCTGTTTCAGTCTGTGACTCCCTCTCTCTCTGACCCTCCCCTGCTCACTCTCTCTCTCTCTCTCTCTCCTAGAAATAAATAAAACATTAAAAATTTAAAAAAAAAAAAAAAAGAAATTATACATTATTATCAGATATACTATCTGATAAAGAGAATTCCCAAACGTAACATATTTGCATTAATTTTTTTAATTTTAGAGTATGACTAAAGTACTACTTCCACTAAAATGTCTATTTCCACTAAGAGAATCTGTTTATTCTTACAAAGCTTGGGAGTATTTCAGCATCATGTAGTACTTCTGATTTACGTATGTTGCACTTTGCCTTAGAAGAGCACAAAAGCATGTCAACTAATAAATATCTTTAGATGCCAAAGCTCTGATAACAGAAAATACAAAAAGCAGCTCATAAATGGGTGGGTTAAAATATGTATGCAAATATCCCCCAATGACAATCAGCATACGAATGAGTAATTACATTTCTAGATAGCTGGAGAGACAGACAAAATTACACAGGGGCACGAATGTTGCCTTCACATTGATAGCTAGGTCCACGGAACAGCTGCCCTGAGCTTTAGTAGAGAGACTGACCTTAGCATCACCAGGGACCATGGACACTGCCTGGGGAAGAGTGGTTGATGCTGTATAATGAATTCTCAAGCCGAGAAGTATGTGACAAAGACTTTCCCCTCACTGTACAACAAGGCCACACATGGGCTTTAGCAGACTCTATTTGAAGTCTCTTTTGAAAACTAAAGCCCTGATACCACATTTGAAATGTAACAGGGCCAAGCTTTGCATGGATTTTTCCCCTTCCAAATGAAGACCCTGCCCGGTTGTTTTTATTTCCTCTTCTACATTTATTTTTATTATATTGTATTGCTTCAAATCATTTCAAAATGTTTTTAATGCACTATATCTTAGAAAAAATAGTTCTGAATTCATAAGCAATCCCTATGGCATGTCCTTGGCATCGGCTGTAAAATTCCAAAGTACCTAATTTATTTGATTGATTGATTTTTCAATGTTTTAAAGGGTACCAAGCCCAACAGCGTATAATTTTTCTCTTACTAAATGGAATATGAATGAATAAAAGATAATTGCATTTTTTTGTATTCAGCCTGTTGTCTTGTGAAGTTTTTTTTTTTTTTTCTCCTTTCCTACAGTTCTGGAGTGAATGAGAAAGATTCTTTCTCTTTTTATAGCAGTAACAGCTCACCCAGCCATTCCTCAACAAGGTTCCTTTGCAGGCCCAGCCCAGAACTCTCCTGTGGGTTACCTCAACCAAGATGCTGCAAATGACCCATGGTGCCAGTGAACAAAGATTAGGGAGAGACTAGGGCTTACATGGAGCTTTACTGTTTTATGGGAAGAAGAGCCTTCCTCTATTGTTTCCTAGTTGAAAGATGCATCTCCATTCTCTTAGCATTTGCAGACTTAAGCACACTTCAAAGAGATTAGGTTTTATTTTCCCAAGGAAGCAGGTGGATACAGCCTACGACTTCAATAATGGCCTATATAGCATGACCTTGAAGAGGCAACTCTTTTCTTATCTCCTCTTGTCTCACTCCCATCTGGCTTCAACTGGGTTAACATTATGGAGCTGGCCAAAAGCATCACAATCCTTATCTTGCTGACCACAGCACTTGCTGGATGTAACCCCAGCAAAAGAGCATCAGGTGATTGTGAAGGGGACAAAAGGCTGAAGGAGAGCAGAGAGTATTGCTACAAACCTGTTCCACTAACATGTCCACAGTCAGCTGCTTACCACATACAATGCAGTCCCTTCCACAGCTCTGGAAATCCATTACCTTAGAAGAAAATTGGACAATGTTAAGTTGCATTTAAGAGCACTTTCTAGAGAGGATAGTAACCTCTTTCATCTTTGAAACCTGGGAAAAACTTCAATCAATGATTTGAAATTTTTATTGGGTTAGTTTGTCTTGGAGGGGAATGGTAATGGCATGAGTGAAGTAATTCTCTCTCAAAATCCATTTCAGGTTTCTTATCTGATTATAAGCACCCTCTTAAATTTAGTTTGTCACATAGGCAAAATAAACCAAAATGTTAAATTTTCATTCCAAGAATAATAAATTGGTTTGTTTTCATTTCTCTAAACTTAATAGAAAAGTACACTAGGGTGAGGTTAAGGGAAATGGTCCTGTTATTTGTTTTTGCCATAGGCCTTTTTACAGTTCCAGAAGGAAAATTAATCAATGATGAAGTATAGACTGAGCAGCGACCCTGCACAACACTAGGCAAGTAGTCTCCAATGTAATCTTTGGGGCTCTCAAGTTTTCTACAAGATTAATCTTCAAGGCCCAGCACCTTCCATGGGATTCTTATGCAAATCAACCAGTGACCTCCAGAACTGTGACAAGACTGGATTTATGTGGCCTTCTCAGAGGACACTGCATCACAACTGTGGGGGAGATACTGCTGCAAGAGGGTTTAGCAGTACAAGTTTGGGCCCAACACTGGAAGCCAGAAGCACTTTGTCAGTGATCATGTCAAAAGAGCAAAAGCAGAGAATAGCTGAGAAATCATCTGGCTAATATGTTTATGTAGTGAGCTGGGCATCTCCTAGATTAAAGACCTCCTCATAGTATGCTCATTGTCCCCAGACATTTCATTTATAGGTATCAGCACAATAAAGGACATGTCTTGGAGTGCCATTCTAAATTTCACCAGAAATCATTTTTTAACGGTTCGCTCCACCACACACATACTTTATGTACTAGACTGAATGAATAGGTTTTTTTTAGGGTGATTTCTAGTGTTGGGGTCAAAGTCCTGTTGAAGAAAGGCTCTATAATTAGAGTTCATGGTTTGCATCTGAAATAACTGTGCAACTCATTCTGTTTTTTCTTTGTATTTCAAAGAGTCAGGCACTGTAGACTAGAGAGCAGGCTCCAGTACGATAGTGTCCTGAAAGTAGTAATGTAGGGATCCCTTACCTTGACCAATTATGAAAAGATGACCCAGTGTCATCGAGCAAAAACCAAGGAAGCAAATGCAGGAAGCTGGCATAGAGGCAGTATGCAAAAGAGTGTGGAACCAGGAATTACTACCTTCACATGCAAACATTGCACTAATGCGTCAACCCAACTTTGGCATTCTCACCAATAACCCGGCGTCTGAGAGATTCAGCCTGAGAAGATATACTTAGTTATGACTTCCCTCTTCTTCCTAGGAAGTAGCAGCAACAGCTGCTGGGAGGAGAGGAATGAAGTGGGAGTGTCCAAAGCGACTGCAGGAAGGATGTCAAGGCTCCAGGGTCTTTATCTGTCTGAGAAAAATACCCACACCTGAGAATATGCCTCCTATGGTAATGGGGCACACTTCCCATTAGATGGGGTGAATTGTGGCAACCAACAAATTACCTCAAAGGATTTATTCACATTATGTAATTCTATATACATATTTTGTTCTATAAAAAATCTTCCCAAGGACACAAATTTAATATATCCAGCATGAGTAGGAAAAGAGATTACAGACCTACACAAATTAAGGACAAAAATAATATCATTAAACAAATAAATTAGAAACAGCAAGAACCACAGCATACATAATTGATAACTACAAAGACAAAGGTGTGAAGTAAGAACAGTGAAGGCTCATGAAAAATGTAGAAATTAGGCAGCAGAGAAAAGCTAATAGAAACGGAAGACAGAGAATGATCCTATGTATAGTAATTGGACATCCATGAATTTAAAAACTTAGCAAATTGAGAAGACGTATTCAAAGTGATTAAGAGAAAGTACCTTTCAGAAAAAAAAAATAAGTTTGCAAATTAAGAAAGCATACTATAAATCAAGACACATCTTGCTGCATTGGACTTGGAGGAAAAATAAAGAATTCTTCTGAAATCCTGACAGAAAAAGTGAGTAACATTGAATAAGGAAGACCAGACTTCTCTTAAGCAATATTCAGTGATGGGAGTCAGATATTTTTCATCAAAGTTCTGGATGGAAGAAATTGTAACAATGAGGCTCCAGAATGACATACTTCAAATATAAAGTCAAAAGGCAGAATTGAAAAATGTGAAAAGAATTCATGGATTACCACTACACACTACATGACCCAGTCCTGATGCATTCGTTGTAACTTAAAAGCAACAAATCAGGGGCTTAGCAGTTAAGTGTCTGACTGACTTCAGCTCAGGTCATGATCTCACAGTTCATGAATTTGAGCTCCTGCAGCGAGCTCTCTGCTGTCAGCACAGAGCCTGGAGCCTGCTTCAAATCCTCTGTCTCCCCTCTCTCTCTGCCCCTTCACATCCCCCCTTCTCAAAATTAAACATTAAAAAAGTTTAAAAACAACAAAACAAAACCCATCCATATGATGACAGAAGTTGAACAAATTGTGAAATTACTGAAAATAAAGAAAGAAGCCAGACAGGATTTAGAGGGTGTGTGTATAGAATTAACACTAAAAAGTTTGCAGTTTATTGTTATAAAGTAGAATGTAAACAAAAGAAACATTGAGAATATGAAACAATAATTAACAAGATAAGGGGGAGAAAGAGGGGACAGATGGAGAAAGTGGAATGAGTGTTACTGCTCTCATCTTCCTAGCAGAGAGTCAGTCTGCACTGTGTCCAGTAAAAATATGACGACTGAAAACAATACTGATGCTTGTTTTCTCAGTTTTTCACAGAATTTCTTAATCTTAAAATGATCTTTTAGACTTTGATAAATCTGTTGATAATAAAGCAGAATTTCAGTTTTCCTTCTGTCCTCCCTCAGTTTTCTTCTATAATTAAATTCAAGGAAAATTCAATGTAATACTTACTATACAATAAACAGCATAATAGCATGTTGACATTTTTCTCTTTGCCTCACCAGGTAGGATTTACATACATTGAAATTCATCTTTTTGTTTTTTTTTTTTTTGGAAACATTCCCTGGGTTTTGACGAGTATCATGTAACCACTACCATAATCATGAAATACCTAAGTATTTCTATCATGACAAAAATTTCTCGTAGGTCTCTCTGTGGTCACTCCTTGCTCAAATCCCCTCCTTCTCCTTCAGCAAATGCCTCTGGCCAACCACTGATGAGCTTCCAGTCCCTATAATTTTTTCTTTTCCTGGATGTCATATAAAAGTAGTCCTACAGGGGCATCTGGGTGGACCAGTTGGTTAAGCATCTGACTCTTGGTTTCAGCTTAGGTCATGATCTCTCGGTTCATGAGTTCAAGCCCTGCATTGGCTTCTGCACTGACAGCATGGAGCCTGCTTGGGATTCTCTCTCTCTCTCCATCTCTGCTCATCCCCTGCTTATTCTCCCTCACCTTCTCTCTTTTTTTCCCCTCTCTTTCTGAATAAATAAGTAAACTTAAAAAAAAAACAAGGTCTTTCAGAAAAACCGACCTAAAAAGAAGCATTAATTAAAATCATCTATTTATTCCTTATAGGAATTGTCTACATCAAAGACATATGGAAAAATGGCAAACTCCAATTATTCCATGAATCTCATGCTTCATTATAAAACACAATCTGCAAGTAAGCTATAATGCCAAGTAGAATAATCTTTTAATATCATGAGCTATCTAGGAGCACCTGGATGGCTCAGTTGGTTAAGCGCCCAACTTCAGCTCAGGACATATTACAGTTTGTGAGTTTCAGCCCCTCACTGTGCTCTGTGCTGACAGCTCAGAGCCTGGAGCCAGCTTCGAATACTGTCTCTCTCTCTCTCTCTCTCTCTCTCTCTGTCCCTCCCCCACTCACTCTCTGTCTCCCTCTGTCTCTCAAAAATAAAAATAAACATACAAAAATTAAAAAATAATATTAGTTATCTAGAAGGATTTTCTAAAGAAATCATTAACCTATCCATCAAATGTTTATTAGGGATATTAGATATGGAAAGCATTACATAGTCACTGATAGAAATATAAAAATGAGTAAGTCAATCTTTGCTTTTAAGGGATATATAATATCTGTTATAGAATGAATGGGCACGGGAGTCTGGGTGGCTCAGTCCGTTGAGTGTCTGACTTCGGCTCAGGTCATGATCTTGCGGTTCGTGGGTTCAAGCCCCACGTTGTGCTCTGTGCTGACAGCTCAGAGCCTGGAGCCTACCTTCAGATTCTGTGTGTCCCTCTCTTTCTGACCCTCCCCTGCTCATGCTCTCTCTCTCTCTCTCTCTCAAAAATAAATAAAACATTAAAAAAAATGAATGGGTGGTTGTAGTAAAATGGTGGCAGTTTTGGGTTTAGTAGAATCCTAGTTGAGCATAAGGTAAAATAAAAATAATCCACTTTGAGTATACATGTGCAGTAATAGAACCAGTTCTGCTCAGTGTTATCATATTATTTAAATCAGAAGCAAGCCTCTATACCTCAGAATATATAGCTTGTTATGTCCCCATCATAGCCATTCTACCTGAGAAAATCCTGCCAACAGGGTCCATGAAAAGTGCAACAGAGGACAGGGTGCTAAGAAACCCAAATTATAATTCATTTATATAAAAGGCATTTGGTTGAAAAAATTACATTTAAGGTGCTTTCCACTCCAACATTCCTGATGTCACTCCAGTTAGTACTGTTTCATTTACCCAATTAGTTAGTTATGCCTCCTGTCTGGGACATTATTTTTGCCTCAAGCCACGTAGGAGAGTTTTTTTTTTTTTAAGAAGTAGAAATTTTGGGGCACCTGGTGGCTCAGTTTGTTAAGTGTCCAACTTCGGCTCAGGTCATGACCTCACGGTTTGTGGGTTCGAGCCCCGCATCGGGCTCTGTGCTGACAACTAACTCAGAGCCTGGAGCCTGTTTCAGATTCTGCATCTCCCTCTCTCTCTGACCCTCCCC